TTTCATTCTGTTTCCAATAAAATAAACATATTACTACATGCATAGTCAAATAAATGATATCCAAAATGGAGATTAGTTGTGTGAGAAACAACAACATATTTGGAAATGGTGAAAACAACTTTGTATCATTTTCACCATTTCCAAATATGATACTTCTTGACTTTGTATATCTTCTTGTTTTGTATATTATCTCCTTGATTACATGTGCATTAGTATGTGTATATTACTGAAAACAGAAAATAAAAATTTGAAAACAAAGTAAACAGCCCCTTAGTATCAGAAGTGCTCAAAATACATTGTTTTGGAAGTTAGGCAGAATTTCACGTTCATCACATGCAATGCAATAAAAGAGAAACAATGAATGAAAGGGGAAAAAAGAATAGAAAGAGAAGCTGTCATCGCAAAAGATAGGGGGAAGACTGGTGAAGGAACTAAGCTATGATTACATTAGTTTCAAATAACTTAGCCAAATAGTGCCATTAGCCCATCAGCATGCTTTATGGTGTACAGAACAAAGATCATCATGAGTGTTTTGCTTTAACCTAATACTTTGCAAGTCATATCTTGATTTGGCACAAAACTGAAGTCAATTAATATGAATCTTTAGTGTGTATCTATTTAGACATGAAATCCCATTTTGAATATCGATATATTATGATGGCTCTCAATTCACTAATGAATCACTGCTTAAATTGAGTTTACACCGACACCTTTTTTATCAACTCCATATAATCAACCGCTTTTCTTTGACAATTAATGTATGACTTGAATTTTGAATTTTTTGAGGTTTGAAAATACCAAGCATATAATTTTGTTTTGTCACATGTTTTACTTAAAAATATCATAATTTTTATTAAAACCTTCTAGTTCATAATAAGATTTTATTCAGAAAATCAGTATAAGATTCACGATTTGAGTCTTGAGTTGATAACCACGTCACATTTTCCCTAAAATGTTGAGTTAGTGTAACTAGCTCATGAAAACACATAACATCATACTCATGGCAAGGAATCAGCAAAGTAAGATACCTCCTGCCTTCAATAAATAAATGCAGAATAAAAGTGTTCTGTGTAGCTGGAGCCTTAGCAAGTTCATTACTAGTACCAATTCCATATGTTTATATGCACCAAAATCATAAAGCATAAAATCCACACATAACAAACATTTCCTCATAAATCATAGTCAATTAATACCTGTGAGCTCTGTACTTCTGATTTGAATTTGGACAGGTTGGACTCTTGAATCATTTCAGTCTTTAAAAAAAACAAAATAGCTCATATTAGTACACACAATTTGCAACATTCTGGATTCAAAAATAAAGTCAACCATGAAATTTGGCAACACAAAGGCAAATTGTACAAATTTTTCTCATCGCATAACCAATCACATGCATAATTGATAGGTTTTCAATTTCACAGATCACTTAGAAACTTCATTAACCGCAGAGACTAAATTATTTAACTGCTACAACTTCATTGACAAAAATAGGCATTAAGGACTCTTACTTTCTGCATTTCTCCTTTTGATACCAACGCCTGAGAAACATTTTCAAGACTATCATTCAACACTTCCGTTATAGCAGCAGTTATAGCCTCCGCTTGTTTCGAAGGCACTCCTTGTCCTTCCAATCTCCTAACCTAGAAAACGCACAATTCAAAGCATAAGCATAAAATAGAATGCAAGCATTAAGCAAAAGCAACAGAAATAACGAAAAAGTGAAATTACAAGGGCCAATGTGTCAACAAGAAACAAGTGTTTCCCACTGGATTTGACAAGTTGAGAATGTGAAAAACATCTTGTGGTTGAAACTGAAGGTGAAAAACATGGATCGAATATTGGAGTTTGAAAGGAAGACGATGCTGCTCTCGAAATCCCTAAATCTCTTAGTCCAGAAAATTGCCGCATATGCCTACAAACCGCGGCCATGGATAAACTGTATAGGACGAATTTCAGGTTCCGAATTCGATTCCGTTTGTAGAAAACGTTCTCAGCAATTAAACTAGCACAAGAACAAAAGAAGAAGAATACAGATTTAGGGAAAAGAATGTGTAATTAAAATTGATTACAGAATAAATAATAATAATTATTATTATTATTATTACTATTATTATTATTAGACATTTTTCTATGTTTTTTTCTACCTTTAGTGCATTATTATGTACTTGTATTTTTTACCGTAATAACGAAACAGTTTAGTGCTATTCTATGAAGCATTGCAAATATCTTTTGCAAATAATCGTTATAAATTCACATAAACCCGTAGAGTCAGGGTTTTAATATTGGTTTTTGTCATTTAATTTTATATTCCTAAAAAAGATGATGGCTATTTTTTTTCAAATAACTTATAAATTTTTAAAGAGTTTAATTGGTATGTACTGAAAGTGTAAATAATTTTATACTTTTATTCAGTAGAAATTTATTAATCTTTTATGTCATGTTATTAACTTAAAGATTACATTCTGATGTGGCAGAATACATAAGGGGGATTGGTTGACCTCATGTCTAAGAACAACTACTTAGAGCATAAATATCAGTCCAATTTTTATGGTTCTACACACTTTACAAAGTGTTCTATGTCAGTAATAATGGATATTTGGTAAAATAATAAAGTTCTACATATGCCAACGTTGGCTGGTTTAGTAACGGTTCTACAAGTGTCATGCTGGACAAGAATAATAAATGTTGGACAATAATAATAAATGCTGGACAAGAATAATAAATGTTAGACAATAATAATAAATGCTGGACAAGAATAATAAATCTAACGGTAATATTTTGTTTTAGAATAATTCAACCGTATATTTGCATGCCAATATTAAATTAAAATATTTTAATATTAAATTGAAATACTTTGTAACGGTAATATTTTAATAAATAATTTAATAATTTAATCATTTAAATAATTCAACGGTAATATTTTAGTAAATAATTTAATAATTTAATAGTTTAAATAATTCAGCAGTAATATTTTAGTAAATAATTTAATATTAAATTGAAATATTAAATTGTAACGGCTATAAATTAATCACTATATTATTTATATTTTAGTAAATAATGGCAATATTTATCTCATAAATAGGTTATTAATTTATTAATATTTTAAATTAATCACTATATTATATATAAATTAATCACTATATTATTTATATTTTAATTTATTAATAAACTAACGGTAATATTTTTCATTCTTATAAATAGGTTATTAATTTTACTATAATTTTCATTTACAACTAATTTAACTTTGAACTATTGAATTTATCTCATCTTAAATTTTTTCTTCTACACATTTATCTGTCAATGGATCCCAATCAACATAACCCTTGGTCTAATTTTATGCAAAATAGTGGTAGCCCTCCTTCTATTCCAAATCAACAAAGTAATCCATATTTTAGAAATACACCTTTTATCTCAAATCCACACCATAATCCAAATTTTCAAAACTCACCTTTTATCCTAAATCCACAAAATAATCCACACTTTGGAAATTACTCATATCATCCACCACCTTATCCATATCAATATCAACAATTTACATCTCAATCAACTAACCCCATTATGCCTCATGGGGCTCAAATAGGTAGTAGTGATGCGCAACCAAATGATCAAGAAGATGAAACACCACAATTTTGTACTCAAGGTAGCTTAGAAACAGTTAACCTTGGTGAAGAAGTTGCATCCGTACGTGTTGTGAATATGCATAAACAAAGGTTCCAACAAAAAGAGGATGAAATTCTCATTCAATCATGGCTCAATGTTTCAAAAGATTCAATTGTTGGGGTTGATCAAAAAGGAGATAGTTTTTGGAAGCGGATCGGTGAAGCTTACAACAAGCATCGTGACATTAACTACAAAGAGAGGAAACCGACGCAACTAAAATGTCGATGGCATAAAATCAATCCATCTATTCAAAAGTTTGTTGGATGCTACAAACAAGCTGTGTCTACACAACAAAGTGGGAGTTCCGAGAGCAATATCATGCAAGCTGCATATAAAATCTATTTCCAAGATGAAGGTGAAAAGTTTACTTTTGAAGCTGCATGGAGATTATTGAAAGATGAACCTAAATGGCTCGCAGGTTCATCAGAAGCTTCTACAAAAAGAACAAAGAATTCAGCTTCAGGAGCATATTCTTCATCTTCTAATCCACAAATGAGCATCGAACACGATCCATCATCACCTACTTTGTCTCGCCGTCCAATCGGTCAAAAGGCAGCCAAAAGGAAGGAGAAAGAAAAGCTTATGGAAATGTCTTCTACTCCCAATGTCAAATATGATTCTTTGAAAGATGACTTTAAAAAAAAATTTGATCTGATGTCAATGTTTGCACGGGACTATGCACGCATTGAGGGTGAAAAAGTTGAGATAGAGAGAAAAAAGGTTGATGCAAAGATTAAGAAGGCTGGGAATGCTGAGGAGAGATTGAAGATGAATGATCTGCAAATACTCTCAAAAGATACATCAAATATGGATACAAGACAACTACAAGCTCATGATATGTTGTGCGACATGATTAGAGAAAAATATGGACTTAATTAGTATGATTATGTATTTTAGGCTTAATTAGTAAGATTATGTATTTTGGGATTAATTAGTAAGATTATGTATTTTAGGCTTAATTAGTAAGATTATGTATTTTGGGATTAATTAGTAAGATTATGTATTTTAGGCTTAATTAGTAAGATTATGTATTTTGGGATTAATTAGTAAGATTATGTATTTTAGGCTTAATTAGTAAGATTATGTATTTTGGGATTAATTAGTAAGATTATGTATTTTGGAATTAATTAATATGGACTTAATTAGTATGATTACGTATTCAAAATCAAATTAGCCGTTATTCAAACTAGCCGTTATTCAAAGTCAAACTAGTCGTTATTCAAAGTCCAACTAGTCGTTATTCAAACTAGTCGTTATTCAAAGTAGTCTTATAAATAGTATTAACATCTTGCATTTTTTACAATTTGTTATCATCTTCTACTAAATATCAAACTTCTTTTCACATGGATCCTTCCAATCCTTCCCACATTGCAAAAATGTTTATGGATTATATGAATGATGACATGGATGAAGAACTTGTGAGGTTGTTTATGGAAGAAGAAGCCTCAAGCTCTAGAAGGCCTAGGCGTCAAAGAAGGAATATAGAGAGGAATCGTGAAGAGGGACATGAACGATTGTTCAAAGATTATTTTTCAGAAACTCCGGTATACACAAATGAGCAGTTTCGTAGAAGGTACCGAATGCATAAACATGTGTTCCTTCGTATTGTTGAAGCTCTAGGTCAACATGATGAGTATTTTCGAATGATGGTTGACGCAACAGGTAGGGCAAGTCTTTCACCATTACAAAAATGCACTGTTGTTATCCGTATGTTGGCATATGGAACATCTGCTGATAGTGTGGATGACTATTTGAGAATTGGTGAAACCACGACACTAAAATGTGTTGATAAGTTTACACGAGGAGTGATCAACATCTTTGGTGCACAATATTTGCGAAGGCCAAACGCCGAAGACATTGAACGCTTAATGCAAATGGGAGAGGCACGAGGATTTCCAGGTATGTTAGGGAGCATTGACTGCATGCATTGGGAATGGAAAAATTGTCCTGTTGCATTGAAAGGACAATATGTTCGAGGCGATCATGGGAAACCAACTGTTATGCTTGAAGCAGTGGCTTCACAAGACTTATGGATTTGGCATGCATTCTTTGGGGTAGCGGGTTCAAACAACGATATTAATGTGTTGAACCAATCCAATGTCTTCAACGATGTTCTGCAAGGACGAGCTCCCGAGGTTCATTATACAATCAATCGTACTGAATACAACAAGGGCTATTATCTATCAGATGGTATTTATCCTGAATGGGCCACGTTTGTAAAAAGTATCTCGATGCCACAAGGGGATAAGAGAAAATTGTTTGCCCAACATCAAGAAGGGGCAAGAAAGGATATTGAACGAGCATTTGGAGTTCTTCAATCCCGATTTGCAATCATATGCAATCCAGCACGATCTTGGCACTTAGACACACTCCAGCGCATAATGAATACATGCATCATATTACACAACATGATTGTTGAAGATGAATGTGCAACATATGGTGGAAAATTTGATTTTTCTTATGATCATTTGAGTAATGATGCGACAATATTGTCGAACGATTCTAATATTGATTTTCAAGAGTTCATGCGTAGAAGATTTGATATTCGTGATAAACAAGTTCATCAACACCTTCAACAAGACTTGATAGAACATATATGGCAACGTTATGGACATGAGAATAACAACAATTGAAAAATATTTTAAATATATATTTTTATTGTATTTTGTGCTAGTAACTTATTTTAATAATGTATTTTTAATGTATTTTTAAATTAATTATCACACACATATATTTTTATTGTATTTTGTGCTAGTAACTTATTTTAATAATGTATTTTTAATGTATTTTTTAATTAATTATTTGTGTGATGTATTGTGTTTTTAATATATAATTTTTTAAATATATAATTTTTTAATGTATTTTGATATATTTCAATTAAATTGTTTTAATTATTTATTTATATAATTAAAATGTTGGATATATTGTGAGATTTGGTGGGACTCATTTTAGAGTTTTAGATGAGTTGCATGGATATTTGAAAAATGTAGTTGGGTTGTTTAGAAAATATTAAAGTGAAATATAATATAAAAAATTATGTGGACTCCATCTAAAGAACCAAAGTGGGGATAATGAGTGTGGATGCTCTTAGGGAATTTTTATTCTGGACTGGACGTGTAGTTGACTCAGCGTCGAGCACCGTTCAATCTAGTGCTACATCGAGGACGGCATAGAATGTATGCCAATTAAATTCATTCTAAAAATAAACACTTTAAATGTGTTTGGTTGCGAGAAGAAAGTGAAAGAAAAAAAAAAGAAAAAAAGACACGAAAGAATATGAATAGAGAAAAATAAATGAAAAATATAGTTGATTTGATATATTGATCGATATAAGAGGAATATTAAAAAATGGTAAAGAATGAAATATTTATTATATATAAAAGTTCTAAAATATCCTTAACTAAAATTAATATCAATCAACATTATTTTAATTTTTAATTTATTTTAATTAATTATCATAATTTAATACATCCTTCGGTCTTTTTTTATAAGAGACACTTCATATTTTTAAATTTATTAAATAATTAATATATCTAACTTATATTACAAATTAAATACATTAATTATTTAATAAATTTAAAAAATATAAAATGTTTTTATAAAAAAGCTAAACAAACTCACGAAAAAAAAAACTCATAAGAGTTATAACAATATTTTAATAAGTTAATAAATTTTAAATTGATTTCACCATTTTCCACAATATTATTTGACACGATAAAAAAATAATTTACCGCATCATATGTTATAAGACGTTTTACAAGGTTAAATTGATAAAATGAGAGAAAAAATTACATGTTTCTTTGCTTTTCTTCGCGTCATAGAAGAAAAATGATATTTGAATAGATCCACTTTCTTCCCTATTTCTTTTCATTAAACAAGATAAGTTCCACACCTCTCTCCAACTTCTCTCTTTACAATTCCTATCTTCTCAATTTCTATTAAAACAAACATGCCCTAGAGGAGAATAGAAGAGAGAATATTTAGTAAGGTATATTATAGAAAAAATATTATCTAAGTCTTTTTTTAAGTTGTTTTATTGTAACAAGGTATTCTTTTATGTTTTTTTCGCTACAAACCGATTCCATTTGTTTTTAAATTATAATAATCAGGTCTTCAAATTTAGTTTATTATACAAATTACAATCTTACTGTAACAAAACTCGTATAGAATTGCAACACAAAATAAATACCAAAAGAATAATCAATCATTGTTAACAAGTGTTAATAAAGGTACTAAAAGTCATGACTTACGACACTAACATCAAAATTAACAATGATCACCACTTCTGAACTAAAATACATATCAACACTACAAAAATCAAAATTAACAACATTGTGACATAGACTAACATCTTCAACATGTTCTTCATCATCTCCTTGTAAAAAAAGTCAACGGTGAACAAATTAGTTAGATAGAAATATGAATTGAATGGTTTGAATTGTCTGTTTTCTCATTACACGGTGATGTACTTATACACATTAGAATAAAGGGAACATTCTAGAATAAAGGAAACTTAATGTGCAAGCTACTAATAAGGTAACAAATAAAGACCAAATCAAATATTCTAATTACATATGATTTGTATGGTTAATACTATTAAGTCTGCATTAAGTGACTTGTCTAACTCCCCCCCCCCCCCCCTCAAACTTGTGGGTGATGCAATTACTCCAAGTTTGTCTCTTAATAGATTGAACCTTGAGTGAGTGAGAGCTTTAGTGAGGAAGTCTGCAACTTGATCTGTTGTTGGTACATAAGCAATTGTGACTTCATTTTGCAGTACTTTGTCACTGATATAGTGCATATCAATTTTAATGTGTTTGGTTCTAGCATGCATCGCTGGATTTGAAGCAAGAGCTTTGGCACTCAAATTGTCACACCACAAAGTAGGCTTTCTTAATTGGGGCAATTTTAACTACTGTATTAGTGAGCATGTCCACGTGATTTCAGCTGCCAAATCTGCCAATGGTCTATATTCTGACTCAGTTGATGATTTTGACACTGCCTTTTGCTTCCTTGAAGACCACGATACTAGAGTTTCACCAAGGAAAACACAGTGCCCTGCAATTGATTTTCTATCGTCTATGCTTGTTGCCTAATCTGCATCTGAGAACCCTGTGATGTCTAGATCAGTTGATGTTTTAATATGTAGGCAGTGATCAATGGTACCTTGAAGATATCTGGATATTCTTTTTATGCCTTGCCAATGGTCCATTGTAGGACAACTCATGTACTGACTTAATTTGTTAACAGAAAAAGCTATATCAGGTCTTGTGTTGGTTAAGTACTGCAGTGCTCTCATGGCTTGTCTGAATAGAGTTGCATCTTTCATTGGTTCCCCCTCAATGGTAAATTGTCTACCACTTACCATTGGTGTCAGACAAGCAGCGACTTTTTCAAAGTTAAATCTTTTGAGCAAGTCTCTAATGTATTTGGATTACTTTAAGTACAAGCCACTACTGTTTCTTTGTACTTCAATTCCCAAAAAAATAGTGTAATTTTCCAAGATCCTTTAATGAGAACACAGTGTTTAACTGTTTGATAAAAGCTTCCAGAAATTTGTTATTGTTACCTGTGATGATGATATCATCAACATAAATGAGGAGAAAGGTAGTGTGATCAGTACCTTTGAGAAAGAATAGTGAAGTGTCACTTTTGATGTTCTGAAATCCCCAACTTAGCAGTGCATATTTGAGGCTATCATACCATGCTCTTGGTGCCTGTTTCAGACCATAGATTGCTTTTGAAAGTTTGCAGATGTAATTTGGATGTGTGGAGTTGAGAAATCCCTCTGGTTGATGCATAAAGACATGTTCTTTTAGGTAGCCATTTAGAAATGCATTGTTTATTTCCAATTGTTTGATGTCCCAGTTGAGATGAATTGCTACTGATAGGATAATTCTGATTGTGCTAGCCTTTGCCACGGGACTGAATGTTTCATCATAGTTTAATCCAGCTGTTTGTTGAAAACCCTTAGCAACTAATCTCGTTTTTCTCCTTTCAATGGATCCATCTGCTTTGTATTTGGTTTTGAAGATCCATTTCGAGTCAATGATATTTTCTTGGCCTGTGTATGGTACTAGATTCCATGTGTGATTGGACATGAGAGCATTATACTCATTAGTCATTGCTTCCTTCCAAAGTGGACTAGTGAGTGCCTCCTTCACATTTCTTGGTTCATTTTCTTGTATTTCTGATTCACTGAGGCCAATGTAGGGTAACTTTGGTTTATGAATCCCTGCTTTGCTTCTAGTGCATATTTTGTGAGTTGTCACCACTTCATGTTGATCACTGATGTTATTACTTGTTTCAACAGTGTCTTCATTTGATGCCATGGTTTCAATGTTGTTTTCCTCTACATTGATTGAGCCACCTTCATCTTGAATAGTGATTTGTTGTTGAGTATCAGTACTCGTACTTGGTGAGTTGTTGTCTTGACTTGCAGCTGGTGTAGGAATTTCCTGATTTGCAGTTGCTTCTGTTTCATTTGTTGGACTCAGATTATCATTACCTGCACGACATAGAGGAAATAAACTGTGTAAATGGTCAATATTGTTTATCTCTTCCAATGTCCTTTTTGTATTTAGGAAGCCATCATGAAAAAGGAAGTGATTCTCATTGAACACAACATGTCTTGAGATAAAAACTCTTCCATGGGAGTTGAGACATTTATAGCCTTTATAAGAGTTGTTGTAGCCTAGAAAGACACATCTTGTGGTGTGGAATTGCATTTTATGTTGATTGTATGGTCTGAGACAGGGATAACAGGCACATCCAAAAGGTTTAAAGGCGTTATAGTCAGGCTCCTTTTTGGTGATTAGGGTGTAGGTACTTTTATCGAAATTTGTTGTTGAAGGCAGCCTGTTGATCAAGTAGACTGCAGTTGAGAAAGCATCCCACCAGAAGGACATTGGCATTTTGGCCTGAGCAAGTAGAGTTAAGCCTAGCTCAGCAATATGTCTATGTTTTCTTTCAGCTTACCATTTTGTTGGGATGTGTATGGACAAGACATTCTAAATTGTATGCCTGCTTCTAATGCTTGTTTCTGAATTGATTTGAATTCACCACCACCATCACATTGGATGGTCTTTATCTTTTTGTTCAGTTGATATTCCACCAAGTTTTTAAATTGAGAAAAAGCATGTATTGTTTCATATTTATGTTTTAAGGGAAAAATCCAAGTAAATCTGTTATAGTCATCTATGAAATGGACATAATATTTAAAACCAGAGGTGGAATTTATTGAGGAAGGACCCCATACATCAGTGTGAATCAAATCTAATGGCTCAAGGGCATGTGAGCTAGAAGACTTAACAGATGCATCTTCCCAAACTGACAAGCTTCACAGAAGGTAGGGTGGTCACTATCACTAGGCGGTGCCTTGATCTTGCAGTTCTTCAAGACTTTGTCTAGCACTTTATTGTTGGGATGTCCAAGTTTTCTATGCCAGCTTTCCTTGACTGAAGTGTAGGCACAAGGGTCATTGGACTTATTATCTGATCCTGTTAGTTGGTACAATCCATCTTTAAGTCTCTCTCTTAGGAGTGCCTTCCCTGTTATTTTTTCCTTCACAAAACAGGAATCAGCATCAAACTCAACAGTGATGTTATTATCATGAGTTAGTTTTGATATACTA